TGGACGACAGTGAGTTAATCACATTTTAACATTCACTACCATCATGCCTAGAACGCCTAAACTCAGATGTGATCAATGCTCCCCCTACCATTTCGGATTTGGACCTAATGGATGTCAACCTTGCGACTGCGAAGTTATCGGCAGTGAAAGCAGACAGTGTGACGTTAATACTGGTAGGCGAACAAAGCGAAAATTTCCCAAAAAGCCATTCCCGCCGCTTGATTTCTAGGACAATGCTTGTGTCGCGACCATATTGAAGGTCGTCGCTGTGATCAGTGCGTTGAGAATCGGTACGACATCAATTCTGGATGTCTTCCGTGTGACGACTGCTACACCTTGATTCAAACGCGAGTGAACGCCTTCCGCGAAAGTGTCAAACTACTTGACAATACTCTTAAGGAGATCATTGAGAATCCAGCACCGGTAAAGCGTCTTATAAAAGCGATGTTTGATTATATGGCTCAACACTGCAATTTAGGTGAACGACACTGCTTTTGACGATAGAGTGAAACAAGTCGGCAAGGAGGTTCAGGATCTTGCCGCAACAGTAACACAGAAACTCGGTTAGTTAAGCCATTAGAAAAGATTTGACTTTTAGGAAAACCGCTAAGATTTTTTTTAGAATCGGATGATTCTGTTCTGGTTGGTCAAGTTGCCCAACTGAGAAAGGATATAGCAGATGCCCTCACGAATGTAAAGAGTGTAGATGAAATGATGAATGCTGCTCGTGGAAAGGTTGAGCAAACAGAAGTTGGTCTACAACGATGGAAAATTATAAATGGTATAATATCTGAAAAGAATAATCTCAAATGTATTTTTGCAACCAAACAATCATTTTAGAACAAGCAAGAAATGAATTGGAAAATGCTCTTCATTACTTGGAAACCGAAGGGAAAACTCAGTGGGAATTGGCCAAGGAAGCGAGCAAGAAGTATGGAGAGCAGAGCCAACAAGTGAGCTGGTTGAAATTCTTTCTATTAGATATATTTGAAAAATGTTGCCAAATTGTGAGGAATGTTTAGATGTCAAACCTTGCTCAAAAGACCCGCGAAGAGGCGGACAAGCATGAACAGCAATCGAAAGATATTGAAAAACTAGCTGAAGAGGCGAATGCGAACGCAAAGAAAGCACACAAAGAGGCTAGGGATGCTATATATGGAGGTTTGTAATGTCTTCATGCGAAAAGTGGCAAATAAAATTGTGTTTCAGGCGAGCAGGTGTCTCAGCAAATTGCCGAAATGAAAGAACGACAGGCACAGTTGAACGAGACTCTGATTAGGTACCTTACCTATTATAAATTACCGTAATATGTTGTTCCGTTACAAGTCATTCCGTGTTCAGGACATTAGAACTGGCTGAGGAACAAAAGAAGGCAGCTGCAGACGCCAACCAAGCAGCCGCTGAAGCACTCACAGCAGTTGAAAGCCTTCGATTACCTAACTTCGATCCCCAGCAGGTATGTCAATAAGTTTTTGCCTTATTTTGTTGACCGAGGAAATAAATAAGAATCGTAATGTAGATGAGCTCAGTTCTTCTTTATGTTGGTTTCGATCCGATTTTGTTCTTATGGATGATGCTTGTCACATAAGGAAAATGCTTGTTTTTCAGTTGAAAGCCGATGCTAAAGCAATCAGCGATGATGCCAAGGTGGCCATTGAAAACACCAGAAAGGAAGCGGAAAACAACAAGGAAGTGCTTGAGCAGGCGGCTCGCGCTGCCGCCGAAGCCAGAAATGAGCTGCAAAGTGCAGAGGACCAGCAACAGGTGGTTCTACGAACAGATATAGGTACAAATGTGAGAATTTTCTAATAACAAGTTTAGATTTCTGATGCTCTCCTTGCTGACGTCGATGCTGCTAGAGCCCGTGCTGATGCTGCCTTAAAGGTAGCTGAAAATACGCTGAAGGATGCAGAGCGAACTTTGGAAACTTTGAATGGTAGGATTTCGAGAAGTTCAATAACTTATAATTGATGGCCCTCATTTATAACTATCTTTCTAATTCCTCGTACTTTCAGAATTCAATGAACGAGTGGAAAAGTCTAAAGCTGCTGCGGTGGAGCAACTTGGCAAACTAACAGAGATCGACGAAGCTATAAAAAAGGCCGAACAAGTCACCAGCGAAGCTGAAAATGCAATTGGATCAGCTGCCGCGGATGCTGCTCAGGCAAAGGAGCTCGCACAGCAGGCTGGCGAAGATGCTAAAGTCGTTAACGAGGTAAACTAATGTTTTTTAAGAGGGTTTTCTTTTTGAATACTCAAAAAGGTTTTTTTTTTGCCAGAAAGCCAATGCTTTCCAAAATATGACTATGCAAACGAGGAAGTCGGCAGAAACTCTGAATGCTGACGTAGATCAATTGATGGAGGAGTTAACAGAGACTAATTCGACTCTGGATAGCTATAAAACTCAAGCAGAGACGGATAAGCAGATGGCAACAGAGGTCAGCAAAAATTTCTGGGCATTAATGAGAAGAAACTATGATTGTCTCTGGTTAATTAATTGGTTTTAGGCCGTACGAAAG